ACACAAAGTTTGTTTTCTCAGTCATCCAGGTATATAACAACAAAAAAGGTTGAATCATGTCATCTGGACTTCGTTTTTTTTGTTAAAAAGAAACGTTTCGCCCCTCATCCAAGAGGCTTCGTCAGTCTGAGGCCTAGACATTTGGTATTACCCAGAAGGTAATACCAGATGTCTAAGTGAACCCCACTTACAATGTTTCCAAATATCTGGCGTCTGTACTCATCCCTTTAGTTGGCAGCTCAGAACACCACATACAGAACACCATGGACTTTGTGGATAAGGTGAGGGATGTCATCATGGAGACTGATGAAACAATGGTCTCTTTTGATGTCACATCACTCTTTATGTGCATTCCTGTTGATGATGCAGTAGAGGTGGTCAGTTTAAAATTAAAATCAGACACCACTCTGAGCAGCAGGACCACACTTTCCACAGAACAACTGTGTCAACTCTTGAAACTGTGCCTGCAGTCAACTTACTTTACATATGGGGAGCAATATTATAGGCAGAAACATGGGTGTGCTATGGGGTCTCCAGTTTCTCCTATTGTTGCCAACCTGTACATGGAGGAGGTAGAAAAGAGAGCCTTGACGTCCTTTTCAGGGACACCACCAAGTCATTGGTTCAGGTATGTTGACAACACCTGTGTTAAAATTAAATCTCAGGAAGTCCAACATTTTACTGACCACATCAACTCTGTGGATAAATACATCAAGTTCACACGAGAAGATGTAAAAAATGGCAGGTTGGCTTTCTTGGACTGTGAGGTCTCAGTCTCTGATAGAGGACATTTGCAAACTGAGGTGTACCGCAAACCCACCCACACAGACCAGTATTTGCAGTTTGACTCCCATCACCCTTTGGAGCACAAGTTAGGAGTCATCAGGACTCTGTATCACAGAGCAGACAGCGTCCCCACTAGCTCAGGAGCCAGGCAGAAGGAGAAATCCCACACAAGACAGGCTCTAGAGCAATGTGGATATCCTAACTGGGCCTTCCTGAAAGCAGAGAAGAAACCCAAACAGGACTCCAGTCAGCCAACAGGTGAAAAGGAGGAACCCAGACCAGTGGTCATTCCGTATGTTGAGGGAGTATCAGAGAAACTGAGACGTTTATTTTCTAAACATAACGTCCCAGTGGCTTTTAAACTCCAAAATACATTACGGCAAAGACTGGTTCATCCCAAAGATCCAGTCCCCCAGCACAAACAGAGCAATGTTGTGTATGCTGTTCAGTGTCAGGAGGGCTGTGATCAGTCTTACATCGGGGAAACTAAACAGCCACTGGCCAAAAGGATGGCCCAGCACAGAAGATCAACATCATCAGGTCAGGACTCTGTGGTCTACACTCATCTCCAGGCCAGCGGTCACTCTTTCAGGGATGAAGATGTTCACATCCTGGACAGAGAGGAACGATGGTTTGAGAGAGGAGTAAAGGAGGCCATCTTTGTGAAAAGAAACCGTCCATCGTTAAACAGGGGTGGAGGCCTCCGGGTTCAACTGTCCCCCTCTTACAATGCTGTGATTGCTAGTATCACTCAGCCCTCTGTGAACAGTAAACAGCCATCAGTGTGCTAATGATCCATTGTTAGGCTGATGGTCCTTCTTGAGCATGTGATCAGCTGGTTTTGGTTGTCAGCAGCAAAAGTGGTTGATCCACTCAAAGAAGGTGCTATTTAAGAGACTGAGCTGAATACAGCACCTCAGACTGAGGAAGTCTCTCGGACGAGAGACGAAACGTTTCTACATTTTTTTTTTGTTGATTTGCTTTGTTTTGTTTTTTTGAATGTCCAGAGGACCAGATTTAACTTTTTTAGACTTGGCACATTTAGTCACTGGAATTTCTGTACATCATACAACAGTTTTAACTTATTCCGGTTGGATGGAGCAATATCTAAACCATCCAGGTTTAGATTTGATTGGGTGCTCCAACTGTTCCAACTGTTTCTGCCCTCTTTTTTTTTTTTTCCATTCAACTTTTATTTTTACAGGTTAGTCTCATTGAGTCAGCAGGACTCTTTTTCAAGAGAGAACTGTATTAAACAAAAACCACAGATGAGATGACACAACAATAAACAGCCATAAAAAGCATATACAATGAAAAGTAAATAAAGGAAATTATATAAAAGAGAATAAAAACATGCTACATTATAAAAACAGTGTAAAAAAATAAAAACAGGAACATGTCTACATTTATTTTTGCATTGAACTTAACAATTGTTTAAAATCCCTTAGAGAGATAAAAGTCAAGAGCTTCAGAACATTTTGCAAGGTGTTCCAGGTTACAGGAGCAGAGTAAGAGAAGACCCTTTTGCCAAATTCGGTCAGCACTGAGGGGACGCTGCAGGTAATGATGTCTTGAACGTGCACGCTGTAGCTGCACTCACGACGTGGCATGTAGGAGGAGATATATGAAGGCAGCAGACAAAGGAGTGACTTTAACCCCTCACATGTTACTTCAGAATTGAGTTCAGGGTTATTATTCTGGAAAGAATAAAAATAAATGAATAAACACTCTCCTAGTCTCAAATTTCTGAAGACTGAATAGGTTTTCCTTAAGGAGTTCTCAGTATGTTGCTCCATTTACCTTTTTATCTACTCTGACCAGTTTCCCTGACCCTTTGATTAAAAAAAAACATTCCCACAGTATGATGCTGCCACCACCATGCTTCATTTAAATAGGGATGGAGTTAGAATGATGAGAGGAGTTAGGTTTGTTCCAGACAATAATGTTGTCCTTGATGCCCAAAAATCTCTATTACTTTCAGATGAATGCAACACTTTTTTTTGTTCCTATGGACAGAATTTCCCATCTCTACAGAAGAGTCCTATCAGAGTTACCTCTAGTCCTATGTTTCTCAGATTAATGCCCTCCATGATCAATCAGTGAGTTTTTTTCTGGGAACTATTAAAAAAACGTGTAGATCCTATGACAGATTTAGTTGACAATTGGATTACTCACAGGTGGATCTTATTTACTGTATGCGTCTTGTGGTTTGACATTCAAAGCACATGAGTGAACACAAATGCATGCACCACTTTTCAGTTGTAGGGTTTTTAGAAATGTTTAAAACAGCATTTTCTCCTATTTAACTTTATTAATTTGGACTATGTATTGTAGAATAACAGCCTATAATGAAATAAAACTCGACAGGTTTTAAGGTACAAAAGGGGACTGAATGCTTTTGCAACCTGTCGTAATAGATGTAAACAAGTTGTACTTAATTTAATGTTGCTCTTGATTTGTCTATTTATCTGCATTGTATTTCACTTGGAAATGAAAAGCAAACTGCAGAAACGTTATACTTGCTTCATGTAGGGTGTGGAACAGTTACATTAACTTGTGTAAAAGCGTTAGTGTAGTGTAGCCTATTGTGGTTCAGAGGATAAAAATTGGGCTATAGTTGGTACTTTTTTCTTAATGTTTTTGTTTTCCAGCCAATAGAATCTGGAGACACTCCTTACCATCCCAGAGAAACAACCAACATGAAAACACAGACGGTGGCCTCCTACTTTAGAGTAAGACTGTAATTCACATTTAACTGGTTTTTCTTTGTAAATGCTGGTCAGGGCTCTCAATGAAGCCATTTTTGACCTTCAGGTCCAATGTAACATCCTGTCGTTTTACAGGATTTATAATCCAGTTAATTATACCTGTTTGGCATCCTTATTATTTTTTTTAACCCAAGTTTAAAATGGTAATCTAAGAGTGTAGCTGATGATAAATTCTGAAAGCTAAAAAATGTTCAGAACGTATCAAAATAAAGAAGCAACATTTAAAACTGTGACTGTAGACATCACATCACATGTTGCTTTAATATTTTACAGTTTGACTTTAACTACTCTAATAAGTGACATATTTTTAATCATTTTACATATTGCAGAGACAGTAAAAATAGATTGATTTGTTTTTCTCCACCTCATGGTTGCTTTAAATTCTTTTTCTAGTACTCACTGATGGACCTGCTGTCCAAAATGGTGGCGGGGCAGCCTCACTTTGTGCGCTGCATCAAACCCAACAACGATCGCCAAGCCAACAAGTTTGACCGAGAGAAGGTTCTGGTTCAGCTGCGATACACTGGTGTTCTGGAAACGGCCAAGATCAGACGGCAGGGATACTCTCACCGTATTCATTTTGCTAATTTTGTAAAGAGGTCAGAGATATCGCAGTACTCAACACGTTTTATCCAGAGAAAAGCTTATTTAGTTGAAAGTTCAAAGTTGTGTACTACTTGTGCTTAAAGTATTATGGTCCACATAAACATTTATTTTTAATTTATTTTTGCAGGTACTACATCCTGGCTTTCAGTGCTCACGAGCAGCCACCTTCGACTCCAGAAACATGTGCTGCCATACTGGAGAAGGCCAAACTGGAAAACTGGGTGATGGGAAAGACTAAAGTGAGGAAAAATAAGAAGGAAACATTCAACTTTGTGTCACTGTAATACTAAAATGATCATGTCTGATTTTCAAATGTCTGTCCAATATCTTCTGTTGGACTCTGTACCGATCCGATGTGGTGAAGAGGGAGCTGAGCTGTAAGGCAAAGCTCTCTGTTTACTGGTCGGTCTACGTTTCTACCCTCACCTATGGTCACGAGCTCTGGGTACTGACCGAAAGAATGAGACGGCAGATACAGGCGATTTAAATGAGTTTCCTCTGCTCAACTGGACTCTCGCTTAGAGATAGGGTGAGAAATTCAGTTATCCAGGAGAGACCGAGTAGAACCACTGCTCCTCCACATTGAGAGGAGCCATTTGAGGTGGTTAGGGCATCTGGTAAGGATGCTCCCTGGATGCCTCCCTACGGCGGTGCTTTGGGCATGTTCAACAGGGAGGAAACCCCAGAGAAGACCCAGGACACACTGGAGAGACTATGTATCTCGGTTGGCCTGGGAACGCCTTGGGGTTCCCCCAGAAGCGCTGGAAGAGGTGGCTGTGGAAAGAGATGTCTGGACCTCCCTGCTCAAGCTGCTGCCCCTGCGACCCGACTATGGAAAAAGCAGAAGATGATGGATGGATGGATGGATGGATGGATGGATGGATGGATGGATGGATGGATGGATGGATGGATGGATGGATAACTGTCCAATATTTTGGCCATTTTAGAATCTGAATTTCTTCCATAGTTTTGTGCAATTGTTTTAAAAAGCCCATCCAGTTAGTCCAAAAAATACCTGGAAGTGGCAGAAATGAAGATGTTGAGGTTCTCCTTAGGCGTGACAAGGATGGATAAGATTAGGAATGAGATCATCAGAGGTACAGCACAGGTTGAACAACTGAGAGATAAAGTTAGAAAGGCCACATTGAGATAGTTTTGACATGTCCAGATGAGGGACAGTGGGTATATTGATAGAAGGATGTTAGAAATGCAGCTGCCAGGAAAAAGACAAAGAGGAGATATATGGATGCAGTTAGAGAGGACATGGAGTTGGAGTGAGGACAGAGTGCTGTAGTGAACACGTGGGTACGTGCCACTAGTTGTAGTATGACAATATATGAGATATATATTGATACAATATTCACGAGTTCCTCATCTTTCTGACTGTGTAATGTCGTGCATTGAATTTAACAGAAATGTAACGAGAGACGTCATTTATCTTTGACCCATCAAAATGAATGCGGTCATTTATTTTCAGAATCAAAGTTTAACATCAAACATTTACATTAATTTGGCAAAATATGAAAATAATAACAGACAAGTTTCACAGAAAATGAGCATCGATCACTCGGCGGTGAACGAGGACTTTGCTTCAGATATTTCTAAAATATCTGTACTGATTTTATGAGAAAGAGGAGAGTTTTAAGATGACATGGAGATTTATCTTACAGAGAACTATGTGAGGGAATTAATCTGTTTGACCAGAACGTGCACGCTTCATCAGATCTCAGCTCGCCTCCGGTACACTTTAGTCGAAGAAGAGACCGTTACCTGGTAGATGATAGATCAGCTCGATAGAGAATCCTCCAGACCTTTCAGCGTCTCCGTTGAGAGCGGCTGAAATCCTTAGATAGTCGTGTGTGGTTTGTTCAAACAGAAGTTATAATTCCAAAACGTCTCTGGACCATCTTGAATGCGTTTGCACCCAAGAATACTGAACTCCTTTCATTCTTCAGAACTTTTCAGACTCTTAATTGTCAGCAACTCTGTACTCTCGAATCCTCTGGAATTCTTCTGAATTCTCTTCCCTTCTCAATTCTAACATGAACTGGGAAGTTGCCACATTTAAAATGGGTCGACTTCCGGTTCATTTGAGAGCTTTTGATTGGTCGATGGACCAGAAAGAGGTGTGTTTTTGTGATGTAAGATGTTATCATAAGTCAAGGATTGTTTTCAACATACAGAAAAGATTATTGCAGACGACCAGACTTCGTGGAGTCTCACGCTGTTGTATCTTCTCAAATAGTAAAACATGACATTTCTTTTTCAGTAAACATTTAGTTGACCGAAACTTCAACTTTCACATACTTACATTACTTGGCTCATTTCAGACAGAGAATCAAGAAATGCATATTAACCTGATTTCTTCTTTGAATGAGGAATAAAAATCATTACTTACTGTTTATGTAAAATAAAAATGAGTAGTTCTCTTCAACCTGTAAGCATTGAATGGAACTAACACAATTTGATTATCAAACATTTGTAAAACAGTGATGATTATAAAATTGTCTTTTCTGCTTGATTAATTCAAGAAAGAAAGTCACCAGATGGCTCAGACTGTATTCAGATCAATGAAAATAACAGTCTCTGTCCATCTGATAGATTTGAGGTCATCAGGGTCAGATCAGGGTCAGATCAGGGTCAGATCAGGTTCACTACAGTGCGATGGGGGGAGGATGACTTGCTGTGGTGACCCCTGAAAAGAGTAAAGCTGAAAGAAGAGGAATCCAGTTGGTATCAGCTCTTATAACTGGCTGAACATATTGATGCTCCTCTGAATTCACAATCTGCTCTCACCATCGGAAGAAGAATAACGTTATTAACTTTTTATGTACAGTATATGAATTTTTCTGTTCGGTGCCCTGAGATGACTTCTGTTGTGACTTGGTGCTATATAAATAAACTGAACTGAATTAAAATTGAATTGAAGAAGGCAAAGTAATTTGTGGCATTTAGCCTTTTACATGTTGTGTTCCTCAGGTGTTCCTAAAGTACTACCATGTTGAACATCTGAATCTGATGGTGCAGCAGGCCACACATCGAATCATCCTGCTTCAAGCCTGTGTCCGAGGCTGGCTGGGAGCCAAACGGTACCAGCGGATGTTAAAAGAGCGAGAACAGAGTGCTCTGGTGCTACAGTCAGGTTGGTGAAACATCAACCAAAGATGACCAAACGTTGGACCATGTCGTGTTAACTTGTGTTTTAATCTTTAGCTTACAGAGGACATAAAGTTCGAAAGAAAGTGGCAGATGACAAAAGCCAAGCGAAGTTGGACACCTTCATTGTTCAGTTTCAGGCTGGTAATATATATAAATCTATATTAAACAAGTTATAAAACATAATCTAGCTTGTGTGTTTTCAAAATTAGTGATTAAATGCTTTACCTTTCCTCTGTCATGTACTTCAGTTTGCAGGGGGCATCGTGCGAGAAAGAAATACAAGGAGTTGGTAGATGAGAAGAATAAAGCAGCAACAAAGATCCAAGCTCGCTACAGAGGGCACAAAGAGAGGAAAAGCTTCCAACGAAAACGGTAGAAAGGAAATGAAATATAAAGAATTTAGCCACATGTAAATATATATATCCTTTTACTTGTTTTGTGACATTTGTGACAACATTTTGTTTTCAGGGAAGCAAAAGAGCATGAAAAGTCACTGAAGGAAAAGGAGGAACCATTGCCAGAACCAGAAAAAAACAACTCTGATGAAAGAACCTCCAATGAAGAAAACAATGAGGAGGATGAAGCAAAAGCTGCTGTGGTTCTTCAGAGTAACTATCGGGGTTACAAGGAGAGAAAGAAGTTTAAGGAGAGGAATAAAACAATGGCTGGTGCTGAGACTGAGTTACTGACTGAAAGCACTGAAGAAAAGGAGGGAAACGAGCCAAACAACATGGAAGAGGACCTGGGGAACGCTGCTAATAAACAAGACGATGACGAGGATGAAAGTACCTATAAGGCTGAGGAGATCGATGATAGCGATCATACTCTGGCACCAGAAGATGAGGAGCACACAGAAGTGGGAGAGGATGATGTGATTCAAAATGCAGAACAGGAAACTGTGAAGGAGAACAAACAGGAGAAGACTCCAGGGATTGAAGCTGTCAACTTAGAAGATGAAACCAAGGCAGCCACGGTTATCCAGAGTAACTTCAGAGGTCACAAAGAGAGGAAGATGTTGAAGGAGGAAGGCAAGATACCAAATAAGATACAGCAGGGAAGCAGCGCTGCAGGTGACAAGCAAGAAATCTGCAGCGAAGAGACAAAATCAAAAGGAGCTCAAGTTGCTGCAGATGTTTCTTCAAATGACATCAAGTTGGATGACCCAGATGAGACCAAAGCAGCTGTTGTGATTCAAAGCAACTTTCGTGGCCACAAGGAGCGCAAACGACTCAAAGAGGAAGGCAATATACCCAAGGAAAAGAAGAAGGATCCTACGCAGGAAGAGAATGTGGAGCAGAAAGAAGAACAAATGCCAGAATTACAGGAGGACATTTTGTCTGATAATCCAGGTGAACCAGATGAGGAAAAAGCAGCTACGGTCCTACAGAGTAATTTCCGAGGCCATCGAGACCGAAAGAAGCTGAAAGCTGAGAAAGAAGTGCAAGAAAAAGCCAAAGAGGAAAATATTTTCAGTGATTCAGAACAAGAAATTAAAGATGAAAGCCAAATGTTGGATGTGAGCGATGTGGTGATTGAGCGTAAAGAAGAAACAGATGCCGAAAAAGACAATCAGGAGGAAGAAGACGCTGCAGTGAAGCTTCAGAGTAACTTCAGGGGATACAAGGACAGGAAGAACCTGAAGACCAACAAGGAGGCAGCCAAAAATGAAGCAGAGCAGCTGAAAAACTTCTCAGAAGAGGTAAACACTAGACGTGCAGCAGGTTTTGTTTTCTAGGCCCCTTTCAGATTCCGATTTCTTACAGCGCTGACTCATTAATACCAATTTTAGCCAATTCTGACTTTTCTCAAGTAAAAAATTAACAAAATACACATTCTTTGTGTGTGTTATTATGTATAATATATTTTACATTTTCTCCAAATGATGTTGCATTCAACTGAACTACGTTCCAATAGCAACTCAGAAAACCAACAGGACTTTGTTCAGTAACTAGTTTACATATTGTTAGTGATACAAGTCAATGACAACATGTTTTCACACATTCAGATCTCTAGCAATATGATTCTTCACAAAGGCACCACAGTACTGAGTGACAGATTTACCATATTTTTCAGACTATAAGATGCATTAAGCGAAACAAAACAGTCAGATAAGTCAAACTTTATTCAACTCATTCACAATAACCACATAAAATCAGTTCTAGGTCAGTATGCACAACCAGAATTAATACATAAGGCGCACTGGATTATTTGGTTCACTGTCGATTTTTGAGAAAATTAAAGGATTTTAAGTGCGCCTTATAGTCCAAAAACTATGGTAATGAAATATAAACTGAAAGGAGTGAAACCAAGTTTATAACTGCAACTTTAGCTATTTTTTGACAGAGTTAGCCACATTGAATATTAAAAATGGGGTTGGTTAAGGATCTCCAGTTTTTCAAGTCAAATTTCTAACTTTGGGTTTCCTTCCATTTGATTTTTATTGACTTTGATCTCGACTTCCCAGCACAAATGCAATACAGTGTTCGTTAACACAGCTCACCTTGACCTAAAGTTTTCCAAAAAACTGCCTATATTTCTACATTCAGCTCGCTCCATGACAGACTATGGTGGAGCTTTAGGGCCACGTTAAGAAAAAAAAAAAACATTATGAAAAAAAAGGTAAAATTACGAGAATAAAATTGTACGAAATAAACTCAAAATATTATGAGAATAAAATCATAATATTATGAGAATAAACTCGTAATACGTCCTGGGTCAGCTTGCGCCTGCTGTGGACAGCCTCAAATGTGAGTCACTGTGTTTATGAAGTAATCTGCGATATTTTGGGTCACTGTTTGTGAAATAAGCCTCCATCCACATTATATCACGACTAAATTCATCAATGCAGCCATTAATTGCAATGCCATACGGTTTCAGTTTATTATAAGAAACCATATGCCACGGTGCATTGAGCTCCTGCTGTTGTACTGCCAACATCAACATTCATCATTTTACCAAAGTTGTAAGACTGCTTTTAAGTGTCGAAGTTCTGATAATATTACGAGTTTATTCTGGTAATATTATGACTTTATTCTTGTATTGTTTCTACTTTATTCTCATAATACTACATTTTTATTCTCGTATCATTTCGACTTTATTCTCGTAATATTGTCTCTGAGCAGGACACCCTATCCCCAATTGCTTCCCGGTCGCTTTCAATAGCTGCCGACTGCTCCACCTGGAGGTGGATGGGTTAAATGCAGAAAGGCAATTTCGCCATTGTACGAGAACATAAAATGATAACAACACATACATTATTGTTCTCGTTGGAAATGTAATTTTTTTTTTCTTAGCGTGTCCCTAAAGCTCCAATGTAACAGACAGAAATAAAAGACAGAAATAAAAAACTCCAAAAAAATAAATAAAAGTCTCTCTTTCAAAATCAAATCAGACTTTTATGGCTTTTACTGTCACCTGTTTAAGAAACAGTATGTCACCGGAAACCCTCAGGCTGTATGAACAGTGGACCTACAACTGTAGAAAAGCTTCCTACTCACATACACACACATTTTGTTTGTTCACATTTTATTTTCTATAACACACGTCATAAATAGCTAACTTTAAGGCTTCTTGACTTGTTAAGAACGTTCTCAGCAATGACACAGTTATAATTGAGACGATAAATACCCAGAGTGTAGGAACCGAGTGTGACAGAACTTAAACAACTCAGGATACGTGGTATTTACAGGAAGCACTGGGGAGATCTACACAGGAAGGAGATGGGTAAGTATCAAGATAATGTAGAGTCTAGATTAGGATTAAATATAATTTCCTTACAGGTTCCTTGTGGTCCAATGGCACAGAGAGGAGGGCTGAGGATTCCAGGTACTGTATCTATGGTGGCAGGGATGGAGATGATGAGGTAGTAATAGCGAGTATTGTTGTGGACAGGCAGGTTGAAGACAGGCTGACAGACAAGTGAGCAGCAGGACAAGCTTAGGCTGAAGGCATGTGGCACCAAGGGTTCCAGGATAGTGCTCAGCTTGTAGATATGGAGGAGAATAGGTAAGTTCAGGAAGATCCTTTAGATCCAAAGAGAAAAATCTGGTAAGCATAATTCTTATCTTTAGGAAAGCACAGGAAGGCCATCACACACGTTGGTATCCAATGTTCCAGCAGAGGAGAGAAGACCAGCAGTCCTTTATACCCCTGAAGCTCATTACAGGAAGTGACCACAGCAGATGCTCATAGCCGCCACTTTGTCACTCAGGAAGCTGCAGGAAAAACACTGGAATTCCACAACACTATCACTACCATGAATAGTGCCTTACCTATGATGCATTCAATTACTGACAGGAAAAAATGGTAATCCAGCCGTCACCAGTAGAGCTAAAATCAATAGATTGTGAACATTTATGAGCTTTAAACAAAAACAGTCATCCCACTTCCTTGACATTGTTCCAGTCATATGTTCTCCAATGTCTTCAACAGATTGCAGAAACTTCTCAAGACTTTGCAGCCCTGCAGCAGAAGCTGAATGAGATTATCCAGGCCCATCAATCAAATCCTGAAAACAATGGCATGTTTGTGAGAGGGAAAGCAATCAATGACTATGCCCCACAGATTCAGTCAGGTAAGATAAGTGAGATTGGATCTGTGGAAAACAGATTATGAACCAATGATGTATAAAGCTGGCACACATTGACCAGAGGTTAATATCATTTTTTGCTGTGTTTTTGAAAGCATGAAGCCTCATATAATTAAGGTTGTCAGTTAAGGAGGAGATATTTTAATTTGTACTGTCTTTCTGAGTTGTCTGCTCTAAGAATATCAGGTGGTGATGAGCTAAGACACAGCCACTAAAAAAATAAAATTATTTCATTTAACAGGAAAAAAAAACAATTAAAAAAAAATTGAATTTGAAGCAGGGATGTTCATTCAAGCAGGTTTTGTGGGGGATTTTATTGTTTTTATTTAAATTCCATTGCCATTTTTCTCAAGCAGACAGCAGTGTTATCAAAGGACTTTATTTCACCAGATCGGTTAAACCAAAAAAAGTGAAGCACCAAAACAAGAAGCACCTCACCTCCTAATCTGTCATCAAAACTTAAATTTGACCTGCAAGGTTGATAAGTGTGAAGCAGCAAATGAAAAGTTTGACGTCTTCACAAAAAAATCAGCAGATGAAGTTAGATGAAATGTAACAGTCATAACAGATTCAGGTGCTGCATGGAAATAATAGAATCATTTTGTTAACAACACTAGATTCTGAATTGGATTGACATTGTAATTATTCTGCAGGTAATTAGCTCTTTAGGGCCAATCTTTTGCTTTATTGGGGTTTACTGTAGCCTGTAAATGTCAAGTGTACATATGCAATTCTACAAAAGATAATTGCAACTATTACAGGTAATCATAATCTTTTCTATACTGTTCTGAGGAAATAGCAATATAACTTTAGTTTGCAGCCAGAACACATGGATAAATCCACTGACACTCCCTCAAATGTGTATAAAATCAGGAGAGGAGAAAAGTCTGTAAATTATAGAAGATGTCAGCTAGTGTTTTGCTGAATCCTCAGATGTCCGAGTAGAACTTTTACTCATGTATATGTTGTAGTTTGACATTTTTGGAAACACTTTATGACCAGTAATTTAATCTCGATTGTATTTTTAGATTTTGGACTACAGTAATGGGGCCATGACAGCTCACTGCTCTTGTAATCCTGAGGTTGTAGGTTTGATCACAGGTTGCATCAGGAGGGGCATCTCGTGGAAAACAATGGTTGCTTCCTTTGAAGACCTCTGCTAAGTGGAGCAGCTGAAAAAACGAGAAAACTTCATGATTATATATATTATACTATAAAAAAAAACCTTAGTCAGAGTTATAAAACAGAACAGAATTTGAATAAAGAGCCCTTTGTTTGTATTTCTAACAACATGCACTCTAAAGAATTGGCACATTCAAAGTGTCCTTGAAATTTTGCTCAGTGGTAAAATCTTATATAACAGGTCAAATTGTTTATCAGTTTTTATTGGACATATTGTCTTGAAATTAGAGTAAAAACATCAGTTTACAGAAGGTTTTAAAAATTGGTTTAAAAAAATCTTTGAAAGATATGTAATCACACAATGTGAAAAACACCAAAAAAACAACAACATTGAACTTAGATTAGAACTAAAACAAAGTCCCTGCTCAATAATCCAGGTATAAAATCCAACATTTTTCAGTCAGGTCATCTGGACAGTTTCTTTTTTGGTGCTGAAACGTTTCGCCTTTGATCCAGAAGGCTTCATCAGTCAAGGAAACACAACGCAAAACTGATTCTTCCCCCAACAGCTTACCCCAAAGTGGAACAAACCAGTTATGTTGGTGATAAGATGGTCTCTTTGTCACGCCCCCTCTTCCATTGCCGGCCCTCTTCCTTGTTGACAGTCATGTCAAACTGGTTGAAAACAACAAAGTCCACTCTCAATAATCCAGGTATACCAGCCTTTGTTGTTTTCAACCAGTTTGACATGACTGTCAACAAGGAAGAGGGCCGGCAATGGAAGAGGGGGCGTGACAAAGAGACCATCTTAGCACCAACATAACTGGTTTGTCCCACTTTGGAGTAAGCTGTTGGGGGAAGAATCAGTTTTGTGTTGTGTGTTTCCTTGACTGATGATGCCTTCTGGATCGAAGGCAAAACATTTCAGCACAAAAAAAGAAACTGTCCAGATGACCTGACTGAAAAATGTTGGATAAGATTAGAACTGCAACAATATTAGCAGCATGGTCTGTTAATTGTTCCAATAAGCTGAATACAAAGTTTACTATGAAGTCATAATTTGTAGTTTTTGTAGCATCATATTGAATTAGTTTACTAGTTCTGTTGTCATTATTTATGTTGGGTTAAATTATGGCTGCTGCTTTCTCCAGCTGCTGTTTTTTTTTTTTTTTTTTTTTGCTACATCTACATAGAATAGCATCAGAGTGGAATTCTTTCTAGGCCTGTTTGCCCTTTAAAGGCATTTTTCCAGCACAGCAAATTGCCCGAGGTTAAATAAATTGAATTATCTGTGTTATTTCTGAGGGCTAACACAACTAGAAAATTACATTTTTCATCAATTCCAAGTAATTTCTCCACAGTCAGAGTTAATCTGTCCTCATAAATTTTACTAACACAGCAAGCTGAAGCTGAATCATGTTTGTCACACGAAATGAAAGCAGAGGAATGTCGGTTGCATTGTTCTTCACACAAAAGGTCGTCAAATGTTAATCATGTTTTCTGAGCCAATAATTATGGCAGGAATTAATGTGACGGTGTGCAAAATTAGCTTTACATGTTGGTGCAAAGGAGAACGACCTTTAGATGGAGTTGTTCAATAACATTTAACACTTTTCATCTTCTTTACCTGTGAGCTTCGGCACATGATGGATTGTCTTCCCCCCAACATGAACATTAATAATGAGCAGCATCGAAGGTCACTCTGATGTCTTTAAATTGCAATAACATAGATGGAGATAATGTCAGATCACTTGCAAAAATTTGCAGCAAGGCAGATGTTGAGCAAACACAGAGTTCCACAAAACTGATGCTTTGTGTCTAGAGTTGTTTCTCGGTGTAAGATTCAAACTGGGCAAAGTCCTCAGGGGCGATCAGTAAAGCATTACTTTTGATTCCATTGATTTAAATTATTACTGAATCTTCACTATCACTGCAAAGGTGCTACCCTGATCTCAGTGCATGCTTACCCATGATTTTAGATCATTTTCAGCTTTATAATAAAGCTTTAGAATGGGTCTGCAGCTTCTAACAAGAGTGCATGCTACGACTCAAATTGGTATTTTTCATTCATTCATTCAACCTTTATATAGACATATAAATCACATTGAGCCTTCAAGACTCATTTACAAGTGAGATCTGTTTAGACAGACAAAAAGTAGTGAAACTGGAACACATAGGAATTGGAGGCAAAAAAATTCCCATTAAACATTTTCTTTTTGGCTGAGAAAAAAAACTCTAATATTAAAAAACACCTCGCACATAAAGCACATAGTGATGTAGACATTCCACGGGGGGCAGGAGCAGTGAGTAGTGTCCAAGGATGCACTCGAGGACATTGTAACAGTTCTGATAAAGATGGAATAATCAACCAGTTCCCTCCGGTGAGATCCGTAAACATTCTCGAGTGATGTCTGGGAATAGCCAAGGATAACGCCCATGGGAATCCAAGAGTCCTGAAATGATGACATAATGTTTATTCAGCTGGTTTCTTCATGTTATCAGTTGGAAATTCCTCGATGGGAGAGGGGAGGGCTGGGCAGAGCATCAAATTATATTTTCTCCAGGCGAATTCAGATAAAATGGCCTTCAAGTCCAGCTGAGGGAGCCAAATTCAGATAAACACACAGTTGTTTTGGGGACAGGCAGAACTTAATGACATCTACCTTAAGTCTGTGTTGGTCCACTCGGTTCTGAATTGTCCAAATTACATGGCCACTCCGATGGAACGTGCCTGAGTAAAAATCCCCAAGATCTGATCCTTTCTGCCCAAAGCAATTTGAGTTGGGTACTCGAGGCACAAACCAAGCCATCATAAATGCAAGCAGCGTGATCGGGTCCAAAATTTGCTGCCGACGACTTCCTTGATTGTAGATAAAACCAGCAACCAGCCGAATCCAAAAAGCAGAAACCAGTTATCGTTAATCCAATTGAATATGCGTCCTTAAAATCCACAAATGGCAGCAGAGATAGACACATCATCAAGTCTTCCAAGTCGATGAGATATCCAGCTGCGTGCGTGCCAACAGGGCAAATTGGCTCGCCTAAAGCCTGTCTCCTCTTTGAAGAAGTGTTATCAATTGTGTTTAGGGACCGACTGATCAAAACAAGTCCATAATTATAGTTCGGAAGAAATGCAAGAGAGGCTCAGAAGCAGTTTCACAGACAGACAGAGCAGCAAAGCAAAGTGGAGAGGGAGGGGAGGGGATAAGCATCCGACCTTGGCAAGAGCAAGTGGTGAAGTGATCTGTACACTCTCAGGGGGTATTATTTTTAACTTACTTTTCATTCATTCAACCTTTATTTAAACAGATAAATCACATTGAGCCTCGAAGACATTTACCGGCACAATTGAGACCTGTTTGGACAGACAATAAAGTGGTGAAAGTGACAATAGGTTTTGGAAGCAAAAAAAAATCCTAACATGATCTTAATCTTTGGCTGAAGATTAATAGTATGAATATGAAAACAAAACCTTGCACACAAGGACATAATTCCAGGATTCAAGGAATTTTATTATCATTCACATCACATGTGGTACATGAGGTGGAACGAAACTATGTACATAGGGTCCCAGTTACATTAAACAAAAATACAAATTGTAAAGCAATTCAGTAGTAAGATCCGAGACATGAACTAAGAATATACTACATACACTAAACTAAGAATACACAAAACTAAGAATACACTAAGTACTAATAGTACAAAAACAATATGCCAAAACAACAGCAGCATGAACATGAGTCTGTGTGAGCAGATGAGGACGAATGAACACAGCAACATGAAATAATAATAATGACACCGACATTCCACGGGGGTGGGGAGGACGCAAGGGTGGTGAGCATGTCCAGAGACAACACATAGAGGCACTGCAAGAGTCTAGATAAAAATGATAAACCACCCAAGTTCACATAGTTCCCTCTTGAAAGATCTGTACACTCTCAGGGGGTGCAGAGGACGGCCAAGGACAATGTCAGATAG